TTAAATGTGAATTAAAATATATAAATTTAAAATACATATGATATAAGTCAAAAGTACCAAATCTAATAATGCAAAAATACACGGTATACATATACTAGGAAAGTGTAGAAAAGAGGAGAAGACTCCTTCGAGAATGGGGATATAGAAAAAGAGGGGGTGGTGGGAGTGGGGGGGGGTTATCTTTGAGAGAATGAGTGAGGAATTGAAACATATTCCTTAAAAGTGAGATACTAATCCCACAATTTGTGGAATTAGTATATTTGAGAGTCCGTTTATTGCTTAATCTGCGCATAAAATTTGAAACATGTTATACTTGTAAAAAAAGGCTATTTATGGAATAAACAAAAGGTAATGTTATTAATAAAAATATTATTAAATAAAAGATTATCCGTGTAAAAATCTGTTATTATATATATATATATATATATATAATTATGAGATTAAATCATGGCCTCTTTTAGCATAATATATGTCTTCACTTATTAGCTTTAGCGAAAAGAAGTTTATATTTTGTACGTTTGACGTATTGTTCTAATATACCAAACAATGTGTTTTTCCCCCCTTGTTTGAGGAGTTAAAAGTGAAAGACGAGCAAATAACCCTGCAATAAAGAATCACAGTTATTTCCATCCCAAAAAGTGCCAGCCCTGTATCACAATTGATCCCTACTCCCAGGCAAATATCAAAACCACTTTTGTGACTTACTGTTCGACAGTAGTACTACCAGAAAAACCCAGCGAACCGAGACACTCGAAAAAAGAGGCAGACTGAGCAGGAACGAGAAATTGGCCCACCCTCCTCCAACACAACTTCCAAGTATCATATCAACAGAAACTATTGATCTACTATATATTTACTTCTGTATCTACACCTAGCAAACCCATTTAATTTAGACGAGGGATCTAAGAAGAGCTTGACAATATCTAATTGTTACAAAAAAAAGCAGCCCATAATGATACCATCATCGATACCAAACAATAGGAGTAGATGTGCTGTGGGGTGGCGGTGGAATCATGCAGTGTTGCTGTTGCCACTGATGCAGCCTTTCGTTCACGCCAGCATCGATAGCAGTCCTTTGTCCAGCACTGACACTGTTGTCTCCGACATCCATTGTCACCCCCTCCATATCTTCAGCTTCCATCATATCCAACACATCAGCTTGGCCTAGAACCTCGTCTCCTTGTGATGAAGAAAGCTGAGATGGAACCCAGGGAACAACTGCTAGACACCCTTTAGAAGAACCAGATGAGTTCTCATCTGCATTTTCATCACCGGCACGTCTCAAAATACAAGATTGGCTTCCCCATAAGACTGGATCTGTACAGCACATACAAGCTGGTTACTGGTTTTGAAATTTTTAATGCCAAACCAAAGTTCAGCAGGAACCAAACAAAAATAACAATGAAAGGAACAACATAGTAAACCAAAAAGATGTTAGCTACTGCAAAGTAATGATGTGAAGTTAACTTATATGTGCAACATACTTCCTCTTTCCGCACAGACCAATATCACAAACACCATAAATACGACCTACTAAGACTAAGGATTAGACAAGCTAGTCCTCTGCCTCGTCCGACTTTACTTAAAGAACTATCCTTTAAATTGCTGGTTTAAGAATAAAGGAGTTCACATTCTTCATGTAACTAAAGGAAGAAACCAGTACTACAATAACAGTAACAACAACCCAGTATAATCCCACTAGTGGGGTCTGGAGAGGGTAGTGTGTACGCAGACCTTACCCCTACCCTGGGGTTGAGAGGCTGTTTCCGATATACCTTCGGCTCCCTCCCTCCAAGAACTCCTCACCTTGCTCTTTGACTGACTCGAACTCACAACCTTCCGGTTGGAAGCGGAGGGTGCTCACCACTAGAGCAACCCACTCTTGTCCCAGTACTACAATAACAAAAGCCAAAAAACGATATCCCTTATTCTGTAGCAATTTTTTATTGTTAATATCACCACATTTGTCTCCCCATAAATGAAGTAGAAGCAAGAAATTACTCATTTTCATCCATTGCCCAAATAGTTCATGCAATAAACTTCTACTCACAAAAGCCTTCTTAACTCTCTCTGCTCAAGTTAATTAAACTACCATTTCATGCTAAAAACATCAAAAACTCTACGAAGGAAGAAGAGTAGAAAAGCTAAGAATAAGCTTGATTTGCGTTTCTAGTGGTTCTTTGCTTACATACGATAAATGCACCTCTAATTGATATTTTGTATCACACAATGTCAAAATATCCAAAGAGAACTAAATAGAAAACTATGTCACCAAACAATAAACTAGATCCAAAGCGCAGAGAACAGAGATCTGACACTTACTTTTGAGCCCATTGGTGAACTGAGGACTCACTATAATAGAAAAATTCGAAGGAGATTGCGCAAAGGGTGTGTTCATGGATTTGAAGTGCACAATAGCCCTCTCTTCATTCTCAGGCACACTAGGGGTAATCACTGGACCATTTCTCCCTAGATTCCTACCATTGATTCCAAAGCTTTGATCAGTAGCTGCTTGCTCAAAAGCTATAGGCGCTGACTCTTCTTCAGCCTCTTCAACTATCCGTTGCAACTCCGCATCCTAAGCAAAATGTAAATAAAATCTTTTACACTGTTACAAACACAACAACCAACCATATAGCTAGTGGCGGAGCCACATGGCTCCAAGGGGACACCCCCTTCGCCTGAAAAGTACTCCGTTTAGATAGGTAAAAGTTATTTTTTCTTATATATACTATGTATTGAATCCCCTTAACTTAACTTCTTTAAATTTTGACACCCTAGCTCCACTACTGCATATAGCTACTCGAAGCAGCATATTTTACGCCCAAAAGAAGTGGCGATGGAGTACAAATTAAGTGGTACCAATCATGAATTTCTCTAAGCTTTAAAGAAAAGAACTTCCTCCATTTCAATTTTTCGCTAAGCTTTAAAGAAAAGAACTTCCTCCATTTCAATTTATGTGATCTACTTTTCTTATTAGTCCGTTCCAAAACGAAGGATACATTTCTATATTTGAAAACAAATTAACTTTAAACTTTTTATTTTACCCATTTCAATTTATGTGATCCACTTTCCTTATTAGTCCGTTCCAAAACGTATGATACATTTCTATATTTGAAAACACTTTAACTTTTAACTTTTAACTTTTTATTTTACCCATTTACCCTTAACCAAATGGCCTCCGAGCCCCTTAAACTTGTACCCAATTTTAAAACCGATATATGAACTCTCCATTTTTCCATTTGAACACTTATACTTGACAGAATAACTAGTAATTAACACATTTGACCATTGACTATGCTTATGTGGCGGTAGCTTATCTTACGTGGACAAAGTGCGTGCAAGTCACATTCATATGTCGCGTAAATCTATTAATTTTCATTAAAAAGACTGTTCTTCCCATTCTCCCGTTCCCCTTCCCCTTCCCCTTCCCCTTCCCCTCCCCCCTTTCTTTTCCCATTATTCCCGTCCATCAAATTTTTTCTTAGTTCTTCCTAATTAGTCCATTCCCATTTTCGTGTTCCTGTTCCTTTCCCCCTTGCCCTCCCCCTCAGTTCTAGTCCACTAATGAAGTCTAGCATTTTTTTTTCTTCACCATTTTTTTCTTGTGTATGCTCCTTCAAATTTCAACAGAGATAATAAAATTATCAACAATAGAGCTCAAAATATATCACATCCAAATGTGAATTTGGGCGTAACTTTCGCCAGCAAAACAAAACAAAAAGGCAAAAGGGATAGCGGGTTTCGTTGCATTCATGGGGTCCAATCATACCCATTGTTTCTGATTTTACCTAAGTTGCTCGCACTCTTCACTTTCAGTGCCGCACCCGTGTCGACACGACGTGTGTGTGGGTATGGGTGTGAGATCCGTGTCGGATCTGGTCAACCGATTTTGGGTACTTTGACCAAAATCAACGGAGAAATTTGGGACAGATACAATAATTTTTGAAAACAAATCAAAAGCTAGGGTGATATGCAAGAAAATGGAATACTCTGTATATATAAATTTCTATGTCAGCCCTTTTCCTTTTATCTCCTTCTAAAATTCTACTCTTGTTCAATATTTTCTCCTTCTCGGAATACTTTGTAAGTTTTTCACATAATGTCTCATAATTTAACCATATTTTTATAACTTTATTTTTAAATAATTGAATTATTTTTAGCCAAATCCCCGCACCCGTATCCGTACCTGGATTCGTACCCTCCGAATCTTTAAATTTAGATCATGAAAGATCTAACCTCTAGATCCGCACCCGTATCGGACACCCGCACCCGAGTCCGAGCAACTTAGGATTTTACAAAAGGCTAGCAAATGCTTTGAAGAGCAGAAGAGTAATTTTTCTTGAAGTTGTAGTGATTTTTCTTTTATTTTGACATTGGGTTTCAGAATTGGACTCTGATTATTTTTTCTTTCCTTAATGTTTTTCGATTCTGATTTTTTCGACATTGGAAGTCTTTCACCATTGAAAATTGTGGCTGGGCGGGGAAAGTTCTTCTACCATAGCTATGGTGAAGAAGAAAAGAAGGGAAAGACAAGAAAAAGTAGAAATTAATAAATTGGTTTTGAAAAAAGATGGGACCCACAAATTACAAATGTCAAATAATAAATAATCTGAGAATCTGACGTGGTATTCATGTCGGGCAATTAAGATTCACGCTCGAGGAAGGAGTTTATCATAAGTATTGTTATGATTTGAGGTGCCAAAATGGGAAAACTGAGAGTTTTTATATCGGCTTTAAAATCTTATCCAAGTTTAGGTGGCCCAGAGGCTATTATGACCAAATATTATAGCCCACAAAGCTTTTATCATTTAAGCAAGTTTGAATTTTTTTCTTAAATACCGTGCCGAATCAAACTAAATTGAACGAATGGAGATACTTACAGCTACTGCATCACCAATTTTGAATGCTTGCAACAGAATAGATATATCTTAGAACATACTTAAGCTTCTTCTTTATAAATCCTAGATACTATTACATAATAAGAGAAAGAGAACCTATCATCATTTCAACAGAAGTAAATAGAAACGAAAAGACTAACTACACTACTTCTGATATCCTAAAACCAGCAGGACAGGGATTAATTAATTTTGAGTTGAACAAATCATTAATTCAACATATTGCCAATTTCAAGGAAAAAGAAACTAATTGGCGAGAAAAATCAAATAAATGAAGAAAAAATAGGATGAAACTTTACCAGGCGACGGATTTTTGTGGCGGGAGAGGAAAGGGAGAAATCGTTGAAATCATCATAAACATACTCAAAATCCTTCCTTTTCATCTTCAATGTATAGTAATTCTCCATGTTTTCTTTCAATTTTCAAAAGAAGAATCAAATTTCTGAAAGATAAACACTAAATTTGAGATTTTCCCTACTGATAATGAAAAAATTGCAAAAACAGGATAATATTTGGAATTTTGGTGGGTGAAAGTGGAAAAGGTTAGAAGATTAGGAGGCGTTAGTTATAGGGAGAGTAATGGAAGCTTGTAGCTTTGAGCTTTCATTTTTTTCTTTTTTTCTTTTTTTCTTTTCAGAAACTTTCAGCTCTCTCTCTCTCTCTGTCTAGATTTCTCCGGAAGTTGGGAGTGGACCCATAGGGAATCTTGCTAGGTTTGCTAGAATGTGCCAAGATATCAACTATCAGATGTTTGTCATTGCTTCTTCCATCACTCATATCAAACTTGTCCATTTTATATGACACAATTTTTTTTTATAAATATTTTTTATTTTCTAATATATGCATAAGGGAAATACCAAAGTTATACGATATTTCAATAGAGAAAAATATTTTTTGAAGAGAAATATGTTAGGTAAAATATTATTCCGTTCGTTTCATTTTATGGAGTAGCATTTGAATTTCGAGAGTCAAACAAGTATTTCTTTGATAGTGATCTTTTTATATGTTGTTCAAATATTTCGAGTTGTTAATTATTATTACTTATAGTACCTTTTATATTAGTTCGGAATGCGTAAATTTTATTTCAAAAAAAGAATTAAAGATTTTATGCCGTAATTCATAAGGAAAATTAAGAAGTTTGACTCTCGAAATCTGAATTGTACCACATAAGTTGGGACAGAGAAAGTAATTTATTTATTTTTATTTCTCATTCGATGCTCGATATTTGCATTAGGACCCCCAGCTAATTCAAAATTTCGGATACATATCAAGGGGAAGCACTCTCTATCAAGATTCTTTTTATTCTCAGTGTCCAAATTCGAGATATCAGTTAAGGGTGGGGGATCTTATATGTTCAGATTCGTAATTTTACCAGCACTGATAAGCTTAATTTGACTACACGGAGAATGTCCCTTTCAGTCGCCATCTTACTTCACGACCTTGACTAAGCTGCCTGTCAATTACTTTTTTATTCATCCTAAATCTCCCCTTTTTGATAGGTAACTAGATTAAGGGACGAACTAAAGTGTTTGCAATCGATATGAGTCACTTGAATATTAACCCTATGTTCAATACAAGAATATTTATGTTAATTAATTTACAATTAGGTTCATTAATCCTTAGATTATAAAATCTAGCCTATAACCATAGCAGAAATAAAAATATATGAAATAAATAATTGAAAGATATACTTAACGAGAATAGAAAGAACTCTGATAAATAATCTCCAATTTGAAAATACTAGTCTTCTTCCATGAACTACTTGAACTACTATAAAAATTGAAGAACAAAAATAATCTAAAGTAATAAAAGCAATAAATTTATGTTCCTACTATATTCTAAGCCACCTACTATCTCATTATGTATCTTTCTTTGCTTCTCATCCCCCTAAAATAAATAAAAAAATTGACTACTTTGGAATTTTTTAAAAAAGAATGTATACATGACTAATTCACCGTTGGCTTGTCTAGCGGCGACGTTGGGCACCATCACGACCTCGTCTTTGATGCACCTCACTTGGTCCAGGTCCCGAGTCTTCCTCTCTCTCACCTTATCCAGC